TGGGTGACTTTGGGCCAATCACCAGGAGACTGTGAGTTCTAGTCCCACCTTAGGCATGAAAGCCGGCTGCGTGACTTTGGGCCAATCACCAGGAGATGGTGAGTTCTAGTCCCGCCTTAGGCATGAAAGCCGGCTGCGTGACTTTGGGCCAATCACCAGGAGACGGTGAGTTCTAGTCCCGCCTTAGGCATGAAAACTGGCTGGGTGACTTTGGGCCAATCACCAGGAGACTGTGAGTTCTAGTCCCACCTTAGGCATGAAAGCCGGCTGGGTGACTTTGGGCCAATCACCAGGAGATGGTGAGTTCTAGTCCTGCCTTGGCCCAATCAACTTGTTTTAAGAAATCCTCAAGGTGATTTCCTGCGTCACAGCACCAAAAGGACCTTACAACGTCGTAAATGTGCAAGGACAAAGCAAAGCAAAGCAATTTCTCCTACCTTGGTTTTTTAACTGCATTGTTTCCACAAGGTTTTGTAGATTCTCCATCTTGTTCTGTAATTTCCTGCAAGCGCTTCCACTGGATTCCCCCGTCTGAATCACTAGGGACAAAATAGCCAGTCATGATTGTAAACCAGTGCTGCCCAATGTTTCCGGCTTTGTGGACCGGTGGGGAGATGGAGGGGGGGAAGGGGCGAGAGGGAATGGTTCCACGTAAGCGGCCGGCAAGCAGAAGTGTGAGCACAGCTCCATTTGTGTGAGCGGGGTGCACGAGCGCCTGCCGCTCATTTTAAAGGGAGCACACGTGTGCTCTCACCCGCTGCTTGCGCAAGTGACGATGCACGTGCGGCTCAACGGCCGTTTCCGTGGCCCGGTTGCAAACCCCCCACCCGCCCACTAGTGGGCTGTGGGCCGCAGGTTGGGGACCCTTGATGTAAACTGTCAGAGATATAAAAAGCACACCCATCCACAGCCAGGACTGCCTGTGGTAAAGGCAAAAGCCCAAGTCAGCTGAAACAATTGTAGTTGTGTTGATCTACATAACATTACATTAACATTGACAAAGTCCTGGTTTTTTCAGAGCCCAACTAGATTGCTGAGACTGGCAGAGCTGGTCAGATTTCTACCCATAGAAACAAAGTTAATGGATTTAGAATTCGTAATCCTTGACTTATGACCACAGTAGGGGTCAGAATTTCCACTGCTAAACAAGGCAGTTGTTAAGTGAGCCACACCTGATTTTACTACCTTTTTTACCAAAGTTGTTGTGAACTTTTATTCACAGTTAAGCGAGTAAGTATTAAGTGAATCATTACAGGTGTTAAGTGAATCTATTCTATTTTCTATTCTATTCTATTCTATTCTATTCTATTCTATTCTATTCTATTCTATTCTATTCCTATTCCTATTCCTATTCCTATTCCTATTCCGTTCCATTATTCTGTTCTGTTCTGCTCCATTCTGTTCCATTCCAATCCAATTTCCGTTGTTCTGTTCCGTTCCAGTTCCAGTTCCAGTTCCCTTCCCTTCCCTTCCCTTCCCTTCTCTTCTCTTCTCTTCTCTCCTCTCCTGTTCCAATCCAATTTCTATTCTGTTCCGTTCCATTCCAATCCAATTCCTGTTCTGTTCCGTTCCATTCTGTTCTGTTCCAATCCAATTCCTGTTCTGTTCTGTTTCGTTCCAGTTCCAGTTCCAATTCCAGTTCCATTTCATTCCATTCCATTCTAACTGAAGAACAACCTTCATTGTCCTTACCAGCAAGAACTGTGAAATGCAAGTAGCCCTCGACTTATGACCACAACTGTTAAATGATTTGTACTCAATTTTATGACCTTTTTGCCACGGTTGTCATCAAGCGAATCGCACGGTCATTAAGTGAATCCAGCTTCCCCCCCCACTGACTTTGCTTTGCTTCCACCCTCATAAATACATGCGGGTTGCCAAGCTCCTGAATTTTAACCCTGGGAACGCTACCACGGCTGTAAGCATGAACACCAGTTCTAAATCATTTCTTTTTAATGCCATCGCAATTTTGAAAGGTCTGTAAATGAAGGGTTGTAAACTGAGGACTATTTATTATGCATTGCTCTTTCTGTGAAAAAGATATGTGAATTATTTCCACCAGCTCTTTGAGGACTGAGGATGCTTCATGTTATCAGGGGTAGGCAACCTTGGCTCTTTTATGACTCGTGGACTTCAACTCCCAGAATCCCTGAGCCAGCCATGCTGAGGGGAAAGGGAGAGGTTTCCAAGCTGAGCCATGCTGGCTCAGGAATTCTGGGAGCTGAAGTCCACGAGTTATAAAAGAGCCAAGGTTGCCTACCCCTGATGCTAAGGGATGTTGGTGATGGTGGTGGTGATGTTGGCCTCTGTCCATCTGCCCTTCTTTTTATATAGACCAGTGTTTCTCAACTGTGGCAGCTTGAAGACGGGTGGACTTCAACTCCCAGAATTCCCCAGCCAGCCATGCTGGCTGGGGAATTCTGGGAGTTGAAGTCCACCCGTCTTCAAGCTGCCACAGTTGAGAAACACTAATGTAGACAGAATCTGTGTCAGTGATGTAGCTTGGAGCTGCCCTTATCCTGTGTACTTTGGTCCCAAATTTGCATGGGTTGTTTTTTTTTTAACCAAAGAACATAAGCAAAACAACTATGTTTACATGAAGGTAAACAAAATATTTTCAACTTGAACCCATGTGGAACACTGGGCGGCCCCAAAGGATCAGATTTGCATGAAATAGGAGCCAACGGACGTGTTCAAATTTCCCGGGAGCAAACAGATAAATTGCATGCCGAAACAACTCAACGCAAAGATAGTTTTTTTCCCCCCCCCCATTGCTAATAAATGTGAAAAGTGGAGTTTAGCTGTCAGCTCGCCGGACGGTTTCCTCTTCCCTTTCAGCTTTTACCCTAATCCCTAATCTTTAGTGACAGAATAAAGATATCCGCTTATCTTTCAGGGATAACTGTGCCCAAATCCTTGAAATGTTTTGTTTCTGGAGGAAAAAAACACACAAAAAAAGAGGATCACGTTCTCCATAAAGGATCCCTGTCATTGGAGAAGAGGGATGAATTTAAGAAGGAGTTTACACTTAGTGGCAAGAAAAAAAATGTAGATTAGTAGTAGTCCTCGGATTTACAACCATTTGTTTAGTGACCAGAGTTACAACAGCACTGAAAAAAGTGATAAGCCCATTTTTCACACTTACGACGGTTACAGCATTCCCTGCGGTCATGTGATCAAAATTCAGATGTTTGGCAACTGACTCACATTTATGATGGTTGCAGTGTCCCAGGGTCATGTGATCCCTTTTGCGACCTTCTGACAAGCAAAGTCAATGGGGGAAGCCAGATTTAATTAACCATGTTACTAACTTAACAATTGCAGTGATTCACTTAAGAAAGGTCGTAAAATGGGACAAAACTCCCTTGACAACTGTCTCTCTTAGCAACAGCAATTGAGGACTACCTGTATTTTGTTTGACTTGTTGTGTTGAACCAACCCGGACTACACAAATGTTTATTTTCTCATTATTTCTGTGCATCAGGAAAGAAAAAAAAATGCCTGTTTTTCAGTACAGAAACAGGCTTATCAATCAACAGCAATGCAATGGGAAGTTGAGGGAAAAAAATTACAATTATACTTACAGGTAGAGGTGGTGAAAGAAACACCTGTTCGAAAAGAAAAACACACAATGTGATGTTTCCATTGACAGAACCCCCCCCCCCATATTCACAGCACTAAAAATTGCTTCTTCATTTTATGAATTCTTTTTTTTTAAAGAACATTTTATTGATTTTCTAGTTTTACATTTACATTTTTAAAAAGCAACGGGGAGGCTGAGTTAATCGATAATTCAATAACATACGTGTCTTTAATACAGATCTCAAAACTATTACATTAGTATTTATTGTCTCATATTTAAACTAATACAATTCTTATTATATCGATTAAATAAAAATAACTTTTCTAACATTTATCAATAACTTTTAGTTTATACATATCCTAGTTATTTTAACATTCCATCTTTATAGACAATCAATGTCCAAATTAGTTTTTCCCAATTTTTAGTTTCCCATTAATATTTAAATTTAATATTTAATATTTATAATTTCCAAGTTTTAAGTAACCCCAATTCTCTTTATCACAATTCATCACAAGATCTAATGTTCAGGATACACGTCTTATCTATTTGAATTCTCACCATCTTGCATCAACTAATTAATAATACGATATAACATTCTTATTTTCTGTTAATTTCCAAATATCTTAAATTTAGTAACCAAAATTTCTCTTATTTCAACATTTATTACTTCCTCTCTTTTTCTCTTGATATCTACTATCTCATATTTAAGCTAATAGTTCTTATTATTACAGCTAAGTAAAAACATATTTATTACATTCATCAATAGATTTTTAGCTTATATATATATCTTAATTACCTTTACATTTAATTCTCTCTATGAATTCTTATGCATGCTAATTATACCCTGGTATATAAACCAATCTTTTTCAAATTCGGCAGCTTTAAGACTTGTAGACTTCAACTCCCAGAATTCCACACACACCCCTGGCACAACAATCAAATCAGCCACTTGATGGGCTCCATGTCACTCTGGGGTCCCAGGCTTGTTGGCAAAAAGGTGTCTTCAGGGTCTTTTGAAAGAGTGTCAAAGTGGGGGCCAACCTTATTTCTGCAGGGCTGATGTTCCACAGGGAAGGAGCCACCACAGAGAAGACCCTTCTTCTTGGTCCCACTCAGTGGACTTCCTTCTTGGTCCCACTCAATGGATCCGTAACATTCCCTACCTCCCTAATCTGGTGGGTCAGGTAGATATAACTGGGAAAGGACTGTCCTTCAAATAACCTGGCTTGTCACCTTCAACCTGCTGGTTGAAGGTGACAACCAGCATCTTGAATTAGACCTGGAAGCAAATCGGCAGCCAATGCAGCTCTCTCAAGTGAGGGGGCACGTGTATAAATCCAGACTTTCACAAAACCATACCGTTTGCCACATTTTGAACCAACTGCAGCTTCCGGATACTTTTCTTAGGGTTTGTTTTGCTAGGAAGAGCTGGTTGTGTCCTTCTGAAGCAAAAGATCCTTTATGACAGTGATGGCGAACCTTTTAGAGACCGAGTGCCCAAACTGCAACCCAAAACCCACTTATGTATCGTCGGGTGCCGGGTGGGCGTGGCCCATTTGGTGGATGTGGCCCATTTGGTGGGTGTGGCCCATTGGGTGGGCGTGGCTACAGTGGTAACGGTAGACTGGGTGGGACTAAAAAGTTCAATCAATCAATTCCAACTTTGCGAGATCTTTTCTTTCCCCGCAAGAAGTTGAAATTGATTGATTGATTGAACCTTTTTTTTTTTTGCACATGGCGGCAGAGGCCTAAAGCGAAAAGGTTTTACAAAACCCAGCTAAAGGCTGAGGAGTGGGGTGACGGTGTGGGTGACCACAGAGAGGGCTCTGCGTGCCACCTGTGGCACGCGTGCCATAGGTTTGCCACCACGGCTTTATGATTACTTTCCACTTACTTGTCCCAAAGGTGCTTTTTCAGGAGGCAACTGGACTTTCTGGGTATTTTTTGAAGACGTTTCGCTTCTCATCCCAGAAGCTTCTTCAGTTCTGACTGGATGGTGGGGAATGGAAGGATTTATGCTCCTTGCAGACAGCTGGTCATTTGCATTTTTTTAGAGAGTTGATAAGACCACCTGGAGGTTTACCGGT